CTGGGACTACACATGGATGTTGCTGATAATCTTAGTTACAAGTTTCACCCAGATGTTTTAATACCAATAATACAACGACTAGTCCTACTAGGCACTTCCATCTAAAAAAACCGTATTATAATAGTAAGGGATTCCCGGCATGATATACAGCCACTTAGATTTTTTGTATCGACACTGGTTTGATATGTCTACACAGACACTCCTATGGGAAATTGAAACCAATTTTTACAGCATCTTAAAGATATATACCTTGTATAATTCACACAGACCAAATCCTGAATTACAACAGCAACAATCCAATAGCACACAAGAGGAATTGCATACAAACACTATTCAAGAGAGCCAGGACTCATTGCAGCATTCCCACATTAAGGAAAATTGAAGAAAGATATCTTATGGACATCTTCTAGAAGAACAGATATCCACGGAATCTCATCAAAAGACATATGTCCCCAAGCCAACCTATCAAACCAAAAGCCCCCAAGGAAAGCACTAAGAAAATCGCCTTACCATATAGAAAGGATGTCTCAGAAATCAAAACAAGACTCTTCAAAGCTTTAGGAATTGACGTCGTACACAAACCAACAAAGTCACTTCACTCAATTCTATGTTAACCACAAGACTCAACAGCGAAAGAAGATAAAACCAACATCATCTACAAAATAGATTGTATTTTGGTAACTGCGGGTATCGACGTTCGCGAGTTGTACGGATTATACTAACGCAAGATCTTATACCAACAACTTCTATAGTGTTCGTTCTTCGAGTACCAAATGGTAAAGCAAAAGACCAGATTTTGTCGTCCAAAGTACGTAGTATATTTCGGGACAAAATCGCGGATAGAGGTGAATGCTTAGCTAGCTAGTAATCGTGCACGCACGTGACACGACGGAGCACCAAATGGCGAAGATGCTTGACCGGAAGCCTTCAGCTAAACAAGTCGACTTAAACAGTGATGGCCAGCACCCAATGTTGAGTGATGATTGCTGTGGTTAATAATTTTGGGGAATTATTTTCCGCTACAGCTCACTCCCCCCTAGTGGGTTTGTGAGGACCCTAAGACATGACCAGCCGGAAGTAAAAAAATCTCGATGGTTCCCTGATGGGTGAAAAAAATCTTCTGAGCGGCTTGATGGAGAGCCTGCTGGTCTGTCTGCCTATGCTAATAGGGTGTCTGTACATAGCTTCCTCAATGTTGTTCGTTGGATCCCGTGCTTAGTTTGTTTCCTGTCCAGTGCCCGTTGCACCTGGAAAAGAAAACAAGAATGCTGAGAACCTTGTCAAGAAAAATGTACCAAATAAGCGTTTTTTTTTACCAAAAAAATATAACATGCATCTACTATACAGTAAAATAATGTAAAGTTCAAAATATCGGGAAAAAAATATACATCTAATTTAATTTTATGTACGGTTATAGGAAAAATATCATTTACTTGTGTTAAATGACGCAACATAAAAATAATTGATGTGTCACTCAGTTATGTGAAATAGGTGTGAAGGTATTCTGGGAATCTAACGTGACGTCCAGAACGCGTTTTCTTAGAGTGATCGACCGAAGTAGCCAGTGGGCGAATGCCCTGACAGTCAATAGTGTGACCCAGAAAATCGAGTGAGTCAACGCCTATTTGACACTTCTGTATATTGATGGTAACACCATGTTGGCGTAACCTTTCAAATGCCAAGTCCAAGTGTCTAAGGTGAGTTTCCTTATCTGGACTGGCAATGAGGCAGTCGTCTAAGTATGCGTATACAAAGTCGAGACCGCGAAATACTTCATCGATGGAATGTTTGGGCCGCATTCCGGAGGCCGAATGGCATACGTAGAAATTCGAAAAGTCCGAAAGGCGTGATGATAGCCGTTTTCGGAATATCTTCCGTTGCCATTGGGATTTGGTTATATGCTTTAACCAAGTCGATTTTGGAGAATATAGATGCCCCAGATAACGTTGCCGTCAAGTCGTGTATGTGAGGCAAAGGGTAGCAATCAGGGGTTGTTTTGGCGTTCACTCGCCGGTAATCACCAGTGGGTCGCCAATCGTTACTATCCTTTTTCGGTACCATATGCAATGGGGATGCCCATGGACTATTCGATGGTTGAATGATGCCAAGGGTGAGCATATGATCGAATTCGTTTCTGGCAATTCTCAGTTTGTCAGGGGCCAGTCTTCGTGCTTTAGATGTCACGGGCTGTCCTGAGGTTATGATGTGGTGCATAACATTGCTGGTTATACACGGGAGATCGTTAGATGGGCAATTGAGTTCCGGATATTTGTCAACAATCGGTTGAAAAGTTGGATCGAGGATTGCTTTCATCTTAACGATTGACAAACTGGGGCCTACGTAAGTTATGCCTTTGATAGACAAACTAGTAGTGTTGTCAATTAATCGTTTACGGCGGACGTCTACGAGCAAATCATGATGATTAAGTAGGTCCGTGCCAATGATGGGCATTGTGACGTCAGCGGTTAGGAAAATCCACTGAATAGGTTTGCGTAAACCTACGTTCAGATAGACGTATTTCCGACCATAGGTTGCAATTGGTTTTCCATTTGCAGCCTGTAGGTTGAAGTTAAGATCCTTCTGTCGATCTGCTGCTGTAGCAGGAAGGACGCTGACTTCGGCGCCTGTGTCGACTAGATATCTAGTCTGGCTAATTACATCATGGATGTAAAGTAAGCGGCTAGTGCCACCGGCGACGGTTGCCGCTAACGCGTGCCGGCGGGATAGTTTCCCACAGACTTGGAGGCTTTGCCGAAATCACAAGGTTTTCGACAACATTTCGCTTCCTTGCCATAGGTGTTGTGATACCAACACCAGTCAGGATTTTTGAGAGAATGTGTGTTGGACTTAGATCGTCCACGTGCGTTTTGCCGTTGAGGGGATTTGGAACGACGATAGGAGGAATTGCTAGGCTTGTTTGACCTAAGCATCTGCTGGACGGAGTTGATTAACTCTATCATTGCAGAATCCTTCTTCGAAGCCTGTTCGGTAACTGAGTATACTTCGGTAACTGGCCGTTTCGTTATCTCTAGAATTCTATCTGCAGAGACAGCTAAGTCATCTATGAGAACACTTCGAAGTGTCACAAGTACAGTCTGAACTGACTGTGGCAGTTTGGATAAAAATAGTTCTCTGAACAGTCCTTCATCGAACTGACTTTGGTCAATGATCTCTTTCATTCTTGCCAGCATGCTCACGGCTGACTGATCTCCTAACTCGATGTTACGAAATAACTCATCCAGACGTTGTCGGTATGTGAGGACGTTTCTCTTGAGGATGGATGCTTTGAGCAACTCGTACGAGTTACTTACCGACATCTGCAGAGTTACGCACCTGCTGAATTCCCGCGGTAGGGCGTGAATAACTGCAAGGAACTGTGAACGTTGATCAGTTATGCCATGTTCACAAAAATCAGACTCAGCAATCTGAAACCACGTTTCAGCATTATCTGGCCAATACGGTACTAGCTGGATTGTTTTGGCGGTTGAGCGAATCCGAATAACCTTGGGGCTAGGGTCACTCATGACGAAATGCATGCCGATAACAATATAGTACAAGAATAAACACAAAAAAGAACGAACTCACCGGGTTTATCTGCGTGTGAATTGAAGATGTAGTTCGTGGTTGGGCTCACCAGTTTGGTGACTGCGGGTATCGACGTTCGCGAGTTGTACGGATTATACTAACGCAAGATCTTATACCAACAACTTCTATAGTGTTCGTTCTTCGAGTACCAAATGGTAAAGCAAAAGACCAGATTTTGTCGTCCAAAGTACGTAGTATATTTCGGGACAAAATCGCGGATAGAGGTGAATGCTTAGCTAGCTAGTAATCGTGCACGCACGTGACACGACGGAGCACCAAATGGCGAAGATGCTTGACCGGAAGCCTTCAGCTAAACAAGTCGACTTAAACAGTGATGGCCAGCACCCAATGTTGAGTGATGATTGCTGTGGTTAATAATTTTGGGGAATTATTTTCCGCTACAGTATCAACTGCGAAAAACACTACATTGGCCAAAGTGGACGTCCGCTTCGTCTTCGTATCCATGATCATAAGCTAGCCGTCAAAAGACATGACATCCACTGCTTTATATCACTACATACAGACAACTGCGGACATCAATTCGACTGGGACAACGTTAAAATGTTAGACAGAGGAAACAACCAAAATGCTAGGGAATTTTTAAAAGCTTGGCATTCCAGTGAATCATCAATCAATAGACACATCGAGATTGACAAAATTTATCAACCGATAAGAAAGAAACCTCACACACACAAAGGGTCAAAGTTCAAGTCAAAGAAACAATGAGTTACAATACAAATAACCTAGAAGGTGTGAAAACACACAAAAACAACCAATCACGTCCAAGGTCACCAGGACTCTCGCCGACCATGCACATGGTCCGGGGTTCGATCCCCTGCCGGCGCACACCCGATATCTATGGTATGCCTGAATTTGGGCAACCGATATCCATGCTGAAAATTCCACACTTGTACTGAAAATACGGTGTGGAATCAAGCTGTAAATCAAAAAAAAAAAATTAACAAAGTCGTGGAGAAAACCAAAAGCTCACTTCAAATTGAAGTATGCGCTGAAGATGTCCCCTAGTAGGGTGAAGAAAGCTTCGCAAATTAACTATCCAGCTCAGAGAACACACCGACATTAAAATAATTCAGTTTTACTACATGTACATCTTAAAAATACACTTTTTCTTAAAATATATGCCACTTCTCACCTGAAACAATATGATTGGTAGATTCAAGGTCATTCGACTTTGGTGTCTATTTTTTACTGTTGCCGCAACTAGTTCAGATGTTTTAAGCAAATACATATTTAAACTGTGCAGTCAAAAATAAACAATAAGTTTACGTGAAATTCATATATTATTGGTAGAATTACACGGAATATCATAAAACCTGTGTATTTTTCAAGGAAATGTATGTTAAGCAATACAGTTATATTTGTCAACTGTTTTAGTTGATAGTGAAAGAAAATTTCTATTCTGTTTGTGTTGCGCTTGAAAGACGTTCCTCATGTTCTGTTGTTTCACTGATAAGAGCTTCCTTTTGACCTTGTGGAACTTCCAAAGATGAATCTTCTGCAGAATTACTCGAATGCTTATCTTTACAACAGAAATACATTCGAAGAACACACTTTACAAAAGCTTCAAAGTCTAAGAATTCTGGCATGAGGGGTTCAATTATTTCCTGAATCTTTTTAGGATCAATCTCTGCTTGAGTTTCCAGTCGACCACCTTCAGGTATAATACCTAAAAGTATGGCCAGATACTCGGACATTTCATTCTCTCCGATAGGTTCACCTAAAATTAAACAACAATTGTTCACGAATGAATACAATCATTTAATACATTCCGGTTTCGGGTTCAGTTAGTGTAAACAATTAAAATGCATATGTGGGTAAGTGTGCTAGAAAACAAAACAGCTAATAACGTTTTCTGTCAGTAAAGACCTTTTTTCTTCATAATTCTTCAACAATATAATTTACAAATGAATTCAGTTTAGTTTTAACCTCTTAACTGTAAGTTGGTGGTTTTTCGGTAGAACATTGGCCAAACACGCAAGTGGTCAGGGTTTCCCGGCCGACGTACTACTTTCACCTCGCTTAGTCGGTTGTAAGCCAGCAGTGAGGGAAGTTTGCGTGGGATCGATTGATTTCTGTTTAAAATGAACTCTGTGCAAGTATGTTAAAATTGTTTTTGTAGATACATTTAATAATGTCTTTGCCCTGTAAGCAGCTGATGAGAAGGCAACGAAATAAAAGATGGTACCATTTTATTCTGCTAAAATTGTAGTTCTTGCTTTGTTCAAATTCATTAAGGGGAATAAATGTATGAAATATATAGGAGAAAATGGAAATGAATAGGGCACACACTGAGGAGACCATCGAATGATATCGCGTACCATTCCATCACTCTAGTGGAATCCCAGTGGGAAGCAACGAATAGGTCGCCCAAGGGGGCTATAGAGGAAATCATGTGGGGAGGAGGAGATGAGAGGTTACGAGTAATCGTGGGCTCAGCTAAGGAGGACAGCAGCAAATAGAACAAAGTGGAGATGTGTTGTCGAAGCCATTTGTTCCACTCGGAACCCAAGGGAACAATAATAATAATAACGAAAATGGTAAGAATAATATAAATAATATGGAATTCAAGGCCTCTGTATTACAACCATAGAAATAAGCAACATCAGAGGCCCTGTGTAAGATCCTCGATGCGACTGGAACTAGTGTAGCCCTTAAACCAATCAACTTACTCAGGGATAATCTTTGTTGACCTTTAGCCACCACAAATCCAATCAATAAAAATAATATTATTTACGAAATACCATGCTATAACTGCAATGTCAATTACATAGGTCATACTAGCAGATTGGGATCAATCAGATTGTTGGAACATATAAATACAGCTAGAGCTAGAATGATTGACCCTGCTAAGTTAAGTAATATACGAAAATGCTCTACCACTGCAATGCATTCACCTGCATTTAGTCACACAATATGTTGGAATAGGGTAAAAGTATGGTGAGAAAGGTTAATCACCGAATCTTTGTTCATCGAATCAACTTCAAACATATGCAGTTGGAATGATTCAACGCCTATACCAGATATATGGAAAATGACAATAAACGACAAGGGGGAGAAAAGTATTAACAATTGGATGCAGTAAACAAATATTCCTCTGTTTTATTCCTTTACTTTTCCAGTGAAACATAGGGCACCTTCATGCTAGAGGCTTGAAGTTTCAGTAGCATTGGTGTTTATTATTTTTACGGGATCGGGTTGCTAGCCTCTTGCTCAACCTTCCCTCTTTGCCAATCTTATTACTGCTTTATTGAGTTAAACGAATGCGGCGGCCGGGAATTGAACTCGGAACTACATGTGTGGTTGGCGAGCATTCTACCTCTGTGCCACCAATATACAAATATCCAATAAAGCTATAAAATAATATGTGGAGTCCTTCACGTTCCCCAGTGCAACATAGGGCTTCAAGCTAGTGGCTTGAAGTTTCTGTAGCAGTGTTTATTTTACAGGATGGAGTTGCTAGCCTCAGGCCCAACCTTTCCTCTTCACTAGCATTATTTCTGGCTTAGCGAGGTAAGGAGTGCGTCGACCGGGGATCAAACCCCTGACCATGTGCATGGTCGGCGAGCGTCCTAGCCGCTATGCCACCGACGCACATAAAATAATATAAAAATATATTTTCCAAAACCTTCAGAAGGTTAAGTCCTTCAAAGTGTGTTTTTTCTGAGAAAATGAAGTTATTTCAGTTAATGGTAGTAGTTCTTTTTAAAAATACTAAAATCGTTCTGTTATTCACTGTCTAAAATACAACTCACCTGAATTCTGTAAGGCAAGAATTAGTTCTTCAAATGGTACACTTGCTTTATTCTTTTTTGGCACCTCATGAATATTTCGTAGTGAAGCAAATCGCCCGTTTTCATCGACTTTCACTTTTGTTAAGACATTGAAAGCAGCCTCAACATCCTTGTAAAGCACACCTTGATATGGTCGATGGTTCCAATACACTGAAAATATCAAGAAAATATCTTTTAATATCTACCTAGTATTCTGTAGATAAATTTGAATGTTAGACAATAGTCGAATCACTAAAATTTAACTATTAATTCATACAGTTAGAGTAGTCAATTTATTTAGATAAACTCATACATTGGTATGTCATTTGGTTTGCAGTAAGAGTTCTACCACTGAGATATACCCCCATGCGCAGGGAAATTCCATTGGATTCACCTCACAGACATAAGATTTCCAGCTGAGCCATTATCAAAGCTTCTTTTTACACAATTTAATGGGTACATACGTCTTTAGCTCAGTAGAAATTTGACGTCATTTTAATAGAAAAAAACTGCCTACTATCTCCAATGATTTTCCTGATTGCAGTAGATTGGATAATGCGACAAACAGCGGGGAATGAGGAAACAGGCATAAAATGGACTCAAACAAAAAACCTGAAGGATCTGGACTTCGCCGATGATATATGTCTAATTTCCCACAAACTGGAAGATATGCAAGTGAAAAGCAACAAGTTTGCAAAAGGAGCATCCAGAGAATATGGGTCCTCAGGTGAACATAGAGAAAACAGAGGTGATGAAGATTCCTGGGCAACTCCACCAACAGCAACAACAACAACAGACAACAATCAGCATAAATTGAAGGAACCTGAAAGAAACAACCTCTTTTACCTACCTGGGAAGCATCGTTTCAATTACACGCGGACGGAACTGATGAGGATGTCATCAAGGCAAGAATCGGAAAAGCAAGACAAGCTTTCACTACTCTCAAGTCTGTGTGGAGGTCGACAGCACTCAGCATGAAAAACAAGGTCCAGATTTTCAACTCCAATGTGAAGTCAGTGCTACTCACTATACGGATCAGAGACTTGGCCAGTGCGTCATAAAGAGCACCTCGAACAAACTACAGACCTTCATTAACAGTTGTCTTCGCTCAAAACTCAAGATCAGATGACCAGAAAAGATCAGCAACAGAGATCTCTGGGAGCGAAATAACCAGGAACCAATTGTGAAACAAATAGGCAGGAAGAAATGGAGATGGATTGGCCATACTCTGAGGAAACAATGCATCAAGTGACATCACTAGACAAGCCATCGCTCGAGTGGAACCCGAAAGGGAAGCGGCGAGTTGGTCGTCAGTGCAAGGGTGACTTGGAGGAGGTCATGTGAAGAGGATATGAAAACGTGTGGTCAGACTTGGAGCCAGGTGAAGACTCTAGCAGAGAACCGAACGCAATGGAGACGCACGGCTGAAGCCCTATTTTCCTCTAGGAATTAAAGGAAAAAATAATAATATCCTTCCTTAGAGTAATCAGTCAAATCTGCAAGAATAAACCAAGTGATCCAACAGAAATTTGTTAAATTATCCTCGCATAATCAAGGCAAAACACAGCAATAATTAACTCAGTACTCAAGAACAAAATACTTTAAAAAAATTGAAGAGCACGATGAACACAGTATTTATAGGGAAAGAAGACTTGATCAGGATAATTTTTTATGCTCTTTTTTTTCCTTCACGTTCCCCAGTGGAACATAGGGCTTCAAGCTAGTGTCTTGAAGTTTCTGTAGCATTGTTTATTTCACAGGATGGGGTTGCTAGCCTCATGCCCAACCTTTCCTCTTCACCAGCATTATTTCTGGCTCAGCGAGGCAAAGGAGTGCGTCGGCCGGGGATCGAACCCCAGACCATGTGCATGATCGGCGAGCATCCTAACCGCTATACCACCGACGCACTATTTTTTATGCTAGCAACTAATAAACATTAGACAGCTGAATGAAGAATAATTTAGGTAAACTCATGAAATCAGATTAGACTACAGATCACATTTGTTGGTGAGTGAAATCTAAGTAACCAGATAAACCTGTATTTTGTGACATACCCAATCAACAGTAATCTAAATTGTCCCCAGCGAAGGTTTTCACTTCTGAGCGCGAAAAAGAAATTTTTTAACGATCTAACATAATTCTGAGATTTTCTTATCAAGTGAGTAACTCAGTTTTCGGAGATATCAAAGGAGATCCAACTAAATGACACTGAAATTGTGGCTTACTTATTACCCAGAAGGGTTCACTTGAATTCGACTAAAGCTGGCTAAAGAAACTGCACGATATCCACCCGAAAGTGACGGATACCCCCCTAAACGGACAAAAGCACTATGTTCAAGCTGCACTAACCTCACAGGTTGCTTTCAATTCAGCTGAACAAACCAAAGAGACGCTTATGAGATTATTTATGTCAAAGCCAACTTTCTTAGTCGTTATAAAGTGTTAGAAACCATAGTTATACTAGTAATTGGAAAAAACTTTGAATGCACGATGCAGATGGATGTTCTATCACTATTAGAAGATGAGGTTCGGAAAGCACTTACGGCTTGATCAACAGTTTGTCTAACGAAATCCAATTTAAAACAGAAGTAGTGAAACAAAAAGATCTCACTTTTAAAAGTCAAGGTTCGAGGGAAAAATGTATCGAAGTTAAAAATACAAGTACGGGAAAAGTAAACCCATATATACTAGAAAATCAGTTACAACAACAATAATCAAGCAGGATACACTCGACATTAATTACTCAAAAAGGCTGAAGCAAACTGAAGAACTGGTCTCCTGAAAAGCGCAGAACGGTAGTATCTTCTGACAGTCTTTCAGGATAGCCCTATCGATACGATTCTGCCATAAAAAGTTTTCGCTCAAGAAAAACAGGCAGCACAGAATTGTCCCCCTGAAATTTCTGAGATTAGAGGAAGAATACTGTAATTTTTAGCAATGTGAGTCGATAAGAGATCAAGAGAGTTAACTCCCCTATTACTAAGTGGACTGGACAATTTCATAGCAAAAGAATACAAAACCAATATCATCTATAAAATTAGTTGTATCAGCTGTGAAGAGCTCTTTTTCCGCAAAAGCAGATACCCACCTTATCATTATATCCAAAAAGATTAACCAGAAGTCAAAAGATATGATACTCATTACTTCATACCAAAGTATATCTACAACTAAGACACAAGTCAACAGAAACGATGTGGAAATTTTAAACAAAAGAGACTCTAGGAGTGTCACAGAATTCCTGATCTCCTAATACTGGGACCAGCTTATGTATGTTGGTGTAAACCAGATTCGTAATAAAAGATTTCAACTCATCAGAGCTCAACATCAAAAGCAACCAGATGAGCTACAGATTTTATTCACCATTTAGAATAACTACTTCATATCTTATTACGTTATGACCCCTTTTATCCCCTTAGAACCACTATTTACATTGGAGGGCTAAGTAAGACTTTTGGCAAGTTATTTTCCAGATGTAAAAAGTGTTTTCCACAAAGTGCTGTAATAATTCTACTTTACTTGAAAAACAACAACAGCCAAATTTACATGGTTAATTATTTTTATGCTACTTTTTATTGAAATTTGAGCAGATTGAGATGTAAAGAAGCAACGTTTTGTAAATCTGAGTAATTTACCACGACTTCTGAGATTAATTTTAAAAGGCAACTTAATTTTGTAAGTATACTGTAGTGACAAATCGGCTACGGAAATAAAACATCTGTCACTAGTCCATGAACATGTAACCCTCTAGACGGCGTAGGCAACGAACAAATATTTTGAAAAAAATTAAACTCTGAAATCATGATTCAGCTATATAAGTAATAAAATAGTTGCCCTCAAAAAGATTACTGATTTATATTTTATCATATAACTCATATATTCATAAATTACTTTAGGGAATTACATAAAGTACAAGATATGTGTAACCATAGCGTTAAGTAAGTGAATACGTAATTCTTTATAAATGCTCAATGACAGCATCTGTTTTGAAACTGGACATATGTGAGCAGCTTGTCTAATGGAACTTATCATTTTCCTAAGACACAATTATTAACTTACATGCTGCTAAAAGTAAATGTCGATTAGTCTGGCTGTGTTCATTCGAATAGGGGACAGGCTGTAAATCAGCACACGGAAGTACTTCATTATCCGCATGAAGGGTATAGAAATTATTTTTATTATCTCCACTGTCTTCTGTGGGTAATAACTAAAAGTGGAAAATCAACTTAAGAAAATTTAACAATATTCGTACAACTATTGTACCATTTGAAAGACCAATGATCCAATATTTGTTATCATTTGTTACTCTAACTACAAGAGCATTAACGTTACCGAAGTCTCTAAAATGTTTCACAATTATAAAAATAATTTCACTACAAATTACAAGACATTCTGGTTTGTGATGCTCTCTGAGAATTTAACTGGGTTCACGTCTTTATCAGATGCCTTTATGAGTGCCACATTCTGACTGTCAGGTGGTTCTGTCATAATTGCAAGACGATTCTCAGTTCAAATAAATGTTGTTTACTTTAGGTTCATGGTTTTGTGTAGTAAAACAAAACCAAAATTCGACCTGAAGGGAAGCTTTAAAAAAAACTATAATGAATAGAATCTTTAGTAATTCTTATGAATAAATCGAGATTGTTTATTTTCATTCCTGCTGGTTTTGACAATTAAAATGTTCCAACTAATTTAACTCTGCAGCAGCTGTCGAAATGAAAATTTTGTTGTCAGTACATCAACAGCACTCCTGCGTGGTTCCTCAGGTGTGAGTTATGAATATGCAAGCAATAATAGGAATGAGAAAGAATGAAGAACTCTGTAGGCAGTCTCCTATTCTATTATGCGCCAGCCAAATATTTCGGTTCTCTCACTAACATTAAATCTATTTTGCAATTTAAGAATTCCCATAATGATCGGTTAATGAGTGTTGTGGGAGGATCTTGCACCCATCATAATATTGAAAGCATAAAGGCAATCTTTCTCGATCACTTAAGATCACTTACATTTCTATATGAACTTCAAATGAGACTCTGCAAGCCTCTGCACTGATGGCCTCCAAAGTTAACTTCGCTCTTCCTAATCTGACTTGACCCGTAGCCCTATTTGACAAAGATAGGCGCGGATTGAAGCACATGGTGGGCAATTGGATTTTCAAGCGATAAGGACATGAT